TTATGACAGTGTCGCTTCCATCGTGCGGGCATGAGCTGCGGCCGGAGGGCGTGTAACATGTTTAGTGTCTATTTAACCGACGTGACCCGATCTTTTATATTTGACCAAAAAACTGGGTAATAATAAATGTTTCCTAACATAATGTTACAAAAAACGTTTTTTTTTCAAAATTTTCAGTAATTTTTCCTAATTATAATAAAAAATAAAACCCGTAGTGGTGATTAAATACCACCAAAAGAAAGCCCTATCTGTCCCCAAAAAATGGTATAAAATTCATGTCAGTACAGCGTTGCATGACGGAATAAACGTCAGTCAAAGTATCGCAACGCTGAATACTGAAAAATGGCCTGGCCAGGAAGGGGGTCTAAACACCTGGTCTTGAAGTGGTTAAGAGAGCAAATCAAGAAGGAGGGGGGTTGCTTCCTTTCAACCTTGTGGTCTGGACAGGTAGCCAAGGCTCAGTCAGACACGCTGGTCAACTCAGGCACAACACCCTCTAGAACCAGATTTAGCTATTGTAAACCAGAAAAAGAAATCTATAAGAGATCAATCAAGCCACCTTATGTCATTTTGTACTGACCTTATTTATTATGGTTGTTTTCCTCCATGTTCAGTAAAACAATAAATAAATACAACTGATTTGGTTACTTACGCAGGGATAAGTAGAATTATTTGAATATCTCTATATAGCAGACAAGTATTTAGTGAAAGAGAAGCACACTGTGTTGGGGTACAAAACTAGGTTAAACATGTTAATCCTAACAAATTGCATACTAGAATGGGCATGATGACTAAAACATTTTTTACATTCAGTATCTGACAGCCCTCTTTTGAAACAAAATGCAAAGGGTTGCAAAGCCACAGACAGCATCCACGTGAATATAACAAAAGAGTCAGGGTTTGTTCAGCCATATCCAGGTTACTGTCATTTGCTATCCTTTAGAACTGTTATCCTGCTAGTGTTAAAAACTATTATAGTAACACAGAGGTATACAGTATATCGAAAGAAACACATTCAAAGCATTGGTGTCTGTTTGGCCTGTGTGTCTCATGTGTACACTATATTAGGACTTTCATGGAAAGTTTTTATGTAATAAGGCAGGGCAAAATGTCATGCAGTAACTGCTAGGAGTTACAGATTTTACCTTTACAGCAGCCAGAACAATTAGAAAATTGGATAGATTGCTGTGTGTTGTATGAGTAATTTTACTACTTCACAATATTTTTCATACAGGCTTCAGGCATTATTTTATAGATTTCTGATTTTTTTTTTTTTTTGGCAGGCCATCGTCTGCTAACACATGTGCTGTGTTCAGTTAACAATCAACTTCTGGTAATATCTCTGCTCCTGTTTCCACTCCTGCACTGGCAATTAGAAAACCACATTGGCACCCTGTATCTTCTACATCTCTCTTTTATATGCAGTTTGTTTAGTGCCACCATTTACATTTTGGTTACCTTGCTTCTGCCTATTACTGCAGCCCCAGCCTCTGGATACCTCGCTACACTTTTGTCCCTGCTGATAGCTCATGGTCCAGCTGTTCCATGGCGAATGGGAAGGAAGATACTGCCTTTGCTTTGCTGCGGGATAATCATAGCTTCACAGTACTTTTGGCCTCAGTCTTCTCTTTTATACCACATATGTGGAGTGATTAGTGGACTGGCCAGTATCCTTTAATCAGATAATATGAATACTATTGTGATAATAATGTTATACTGCAGGATCAGTATCACTAAGAACAATAAGCCCATGTCTTTACTGAAGTGTCTGGAAGCATGTGTAAACATGTGGTTAAAGCCTGGCTACAGTCAAAACTATTTTTTTTTTAACCGGTGGATGGAGCGAGGAAAGATTAGAACCTCTGTAAGGTTTTCAATGATGTCTGTATTACTACTGAGATTTCCCATCACTTTCTGATTTGTCTGACACCTATCACCCAAATGCACCTTAATGTGCATTGGTGCACTGCAGTGCAATTCATTCTGAATGGCTTTCATTGCAGTCTCATTATGTTGGGGTGCCATTCATTCCAACGTAGCTCCAAAATACATGCACGCTGCAATGCAGCCCAGTTCATTTAAATGTGCTTCCTAACGAAGTGTGCCGTAAGGCGTGCCCAAGCATGAAAATATGTGCACTGCAGCACACTGCGTTGTGATGTGAATGTGCCCATTAATACTGGTCCATCTTGCTTTGCATTAACATGCACTTTAATGTGTGTTGTGTTAAGGCAGACCATTAATTTAGGTAGACTGACAATGCACCAAAATATTGGATATACACCGTTCCAATGTAGTGCAGCTCAATGCATGACAGTCTGTTACCATGCTATCCAGAGCACCACATCACACGTGTAATGAGTTAGTGTGTTGGGATGCCAATGAAAATAATAAAAGGTACCACAACATACATGCGTTGTTTTAACGTGTGCATTCCTGCCAATGCACTGCATTGGAAAGGTGTGAATGGGCCCTAAATGTAAAATTTCCATCATCTATCTACTGGGTCTTATTTCTTTGCATGATGATGTGACAATTGTACTAGAGGGTCCATTAACACTTTGCTATTGCGGTAACACACGTGTCACCCCAATACACATTACTTGCGTTAGCATGTTGCAGTTTCATTGATTTTGAAAGGCACCCCAATGCATTTACCCAACGGACCTCTGCCGCACTTGTGTTGCAGTGCACTACAAAAGTTCTAAGTTGTTAGCTCCTCGAGGTAATGCACTACCATGTGTTGTGGTGCACTGCATCTGAAAAAATGCTACATATCCATTTTTTAATCATGTATTAGGGGCAAAGAATGAAGTAATTCTAGTACATTGAATGATGCTGCTTTTTAGAGACTGGACACTGGCAGTCAAAGCTGTAAGACTGTCTTGTATAACACCACCCACTCTGATCATGCTCCATATTCTTCTACTGTCCTAGGAGAATGGACATCTTCTCTACTTTGAGAGAAGCAAACACTTTTCTTTTTAGCAAGATTCCCATTTCCTTCTAGCAGATTTCTACAGTTGCTGCAAAGCCAGAAAGGCTAACCATGCAGCTTCCGGGTGGGCTCTGTGTCATTGGGCTCTACTACATCATAGTGGACCACATCCTTCTCTCTGTGTATGTGCACGCTATGTTGCAGTGTGCATGTGAACCTCGTTGCTTTCTCGTCATATCTTCAGACATTCCACCTACACCACAATCCTCTGGAAGTTTACCTTATCCCTCACTTGCTTAACTTGGTATGGCAGATCATAAGCACAAGGATAGAAGTTCTGCGGGCACTTTGAGCTTACAATCCACTAATAGTTGCAGGGTTGGTTGCAGGGTACCTCCTAAGGGACCTGACGCCAATAGCCTGGAGCACTGTCCCCTGCCAGAGTCACGGCACTCCTTAAGCCGGGTACATATGGCATGAATTTTGTCTGAATTGGCTGAAATTCGCTCAGTGGGTGTCATTTGATCGAGGAAGCCAGTTGGAAAATACTCGGCCTAACAGAGCTGGCAGCCAGCTGCAAGCTCCATTTGGGTATTCTGACAACAGCCACTGGCTGCTGTCAGAATACAATGAAAGCAGCGCAGGATTTCTCCATCTATGCTTGTAAGCATAGATGGAGGAATCTGTTCTATTTTTGTTGTTCAGCCCACAGGTTGAACGGAAAAAAAAAACCACGTGCAAATCTGACTTTAGAGTCCTTTCTAACTCCTTCAGGTATGGCTCGCTCCTCTGTCTTGTGTGGGGAAAAAGTCTATGCTACTATGTGTGAGTTTATGGGGAATATTTTAGCCATCTTAGGCAACTCTAAACACAGGTGTCATAAGCATGCCCCCCTGCCCACTCCTTCAGAGTCTATCTCTGATTTTCCTGTGTCTGCAACTGCTTGTGCACAGTTAGCAGAGAATGGAAAATAATATACCCTTTTATTTGAGGAATTAGTACATAAGCCTACCTGGTTTGTATAACACTTTTTAAAAGCTAGGAAATCGCACTTGGAGAGCATATTTCTCATGATGCGTGGCAAGAAAATCCCATCCCAGAAAGTATTCCGTGTAGCCTGCCTTTTCTTCAGTTCAGTCTGGATTTTCAGTCTAGGGATTTTTTTTCAAAGACAACTTGCCACTTAATCTGAAGTTAGTCTTCCTATAGAGTGCCGTTCACATTATTCCCCCGTACTTTCCTCAGTTACACCATGGAATCTACTACTGGTTTTGTCAGTTACCCAGAAACTGACCTTTGAACCTATCAGGGATAAGAGAGGTGAATTTCTAGGTTGGTGGCCTTAATCTGTAAGGAACCCATTTGTTACACAAAGAGAAGGTTGTGTTGAGGCTTAAGGCTTCTTTTCTTCCCAAGGTGGTTTCTTCTTTTCATCTTAACCTGGACATTGTTCTCCCATCTCTATATCCTGTCCCACAACATTTCCCTCCACTATCTGAATGTGATACATGCTGTTTGAGTCTCGCTGTTTTGATCTCTCAGCTACTGCATCCTATAGAGAGTCCGACTCAGTTTGTCATTCCTGCGGCGTTTCCTATAAGGGACAGTCTGCTTCTCATTCCACTGTCTCCAGGTGGATTCAGCAGCTTATCATTCAAGCCTTCATTGGCCTGCCTTAATGCAACACACATTATCATACAATGCTCTGGAATGGCCAAGTGTAAAGGTGCCCATACACTGCACGATTCTCGTACGAGAATCGTGGGAAATCCCGCGATCGTACGAGAATCGTGCAGTGTATGGAAGGCGTGCAACCGTTTCTACTGTACAGTCGCACGTCTTCCGTCGAACCAGCAGGCTAGAAAACCCGCCGGGAATCGTACGATTCTCGGCGAGTGAGTGGCCTGCTGGTTCGACAACTGACGAACGGGCCAGTATGCGCACGCGCACACTACACGATCGCGGGATTTCCCGCGATTATCGTACGATTATCGTAAGGTGTGTGGGGACCTTAAATGGGCCCTGAAAGTTCCTTGCAGTTCAGTTGGTTCCTGCTGAAACAAATTCACAAAGACAGATTGCTGTTTTAACATACCTGATAAGTTAGATCCTTACAGTAAAACCACAGTCCGCAATGGATTACTCCGCTACCTGAAGCCATCAGAAACCAGAATACAGGCGCTAGATAGAATATTCATTTGTATGAGATCACTTCCTGTAGCTCGATTTATACCCTTTCGGGAGGAAGGATCTGGGCCGCACTATACAAATTTTAGAGCACAAAACAGGTATGTGAGATCAACATATAAATGTTTTTAATGGTTTTGCTGCATCTTATTGCAAGGCCTTGCAAGATTGTATATCACTTTAAAGGAACACCTTTCTTTCTTTATTAGACTTCCATTCTCCTATACAGATGTACAGGAGCCTGACCTGTATACTGATATGTCATTGGCTGGGGTGACTACACAGAGTGCACCCCTTGGTCATTTCCAAGACACTCCAGTTTGGTTAGGACATGATGAGAGACTGGAGGAAGCAATGTTGGAAGCTGGCATTCTGGCATCTTTAAGGGCATATGAGCAACAGGAAACACAGAGACACGAGCTAACCCTAAACAAATCCAGTGTGTCAGCACTCAGGTAAGCTACTAGTATTATGCATACTTTTTATAAACTCTCTATAACTTACCTCATAGTCATATAAATGGTGAATATAATGTCATGTTTCTATGGCCCCACAGCCACTATCCAATACCAGCCTGCCTAGTTTACTGAATTTCCAGTTTACTGAATTATTTTTTATAGACCTCAACAAAAATATTATCTTATTTAGTCCATTCACCTATTTCAATGAATGCTTACTAAGGAGAAGCTCACCAGATATCTCAGGATCTACAGTCAGACTATATCAATCAGTAATGAAAACAACTTCTGGGTCTGTGTGTTTTTATAGCTATGTAGTATGTGAATAAAGGGTTAAGGCCATGAGTTTTCTGCTGTGACAATTAGGGCTCATTCACACTAGCTGCATTTGGCAGCGTTGCACAACGCAGTCCTAATGCTAGAACAAGGCAATATGCCTTATGTCCTATGGGTTCAATGCACACCAACGTTTACTAAGTGTGTACTGGCATTGGTATGTGCTGAAAAAAGTAGAACGTATTGCATTTTTGTTCAGTTTGTTCCAACGGACTGTAATGCATCACAACATGCACACAGCTATGAAAAAAGGGAATAAAAGCACTGCAATGCATTTAAACAATGCATCTCAGCATACATGCACAACGCACTCCAGCACGCACATGTGATGCGCACCTTAACGTGTGCTTGCTGGTGTGAATAAGCCCTTATATGTTAGGCACCCAAAGCAGTGGATGAAGAGAAAAAGTCAGACATGCAGCATACTCCACCTGTTTTCAGACATGTCCATCTTCCAACAGGTCCCTAAACTTGAATTGTCGGATCATGCAACGGTTTGTGTGTAGACTGCAGAGCAAGGCAACGTAGCAATATTGCCGACACCTCCACCACAGATTTATCAGGGGAGAACAAAGATTGCATATGGTTTTCTGAAGGTGCCTATATGCAGTCTTCTAATTTGGCCTCATATGGAACCTTGTCCAGTGTCTTTTGCTTCCCTCCTGATCAGTTTGCTGCAGCAAGCCTCGCCTGCTCTACTTTATTGACTAAACATGATCAGTCACATGTTTAGAGGCCTGAGGTAAGATAGAGAAGCGTGAGGACAGTTGGATCGTACCTACAATCTATGGCTGGTTTTGTTAACTATTTTCCTAACTGAACCTTTGTTGCCTGTGTCTGACTGTGTTTGAGAATCTCCATAGACATAGAATTGTCTCCTAGTCTTGTCATTTTTGACCACACTGGAAGACTGCTATCTGGTATCTACTGGGATCCTACACACTGCTTGCAAGCTTTTCTTATGCATATCATTAAAAATGGATAACAGGAAGACAAAAAGGCATATTCATTTTCCAATGGGTTTTTACAGATAGAATATACACTATATTTCCAAAAGTATTGGGACGCCTGCCTTTACACGCACATGAACTTTAATGGCATCCCAGTCTTAGTCCGTAGGGTTCAATATTGAGTTGGCCCACCCTTTGCAGCTATAACTGCTTCAATTCTTCTGGGAAGGCATCCACAAGGTTTAAGAGTGTGTCTATGGGAATGTTTGACCATTCTTCCAGAAGTGCATTTGTGAGGTCAGGTACTGATGTTGGGGGAGAAGGCCGGGCTCGCAGTCTCCGCTCTAATTCATCCGAAAGGTGTTCTATCGGGTTGAGGTCAGGACTCTGTGCGACTCAAGTTCCTCCACCCCAAACTCGCTCATCCATGTCTTTATAGACCTTGCTTTGTGCACTGGTGCGCAGTCATGTTGGAACAGGAAGGGGTCATCCCTAAACTGTTCCCACAAAGTTGGGAGCATGAAATTGTCCAAAATGTCTTGGTTTGCTGATGCCTTAAGAGTTCCCTTCACTGGAACTAAGGGGCCAAGATCAACCCCTGAAAAACAACCCCACACCATAATCCCCCCTCCACCAAACTTTACACTTGGCACAATGCAGTCAGGCAAGTACCGTTCTCCTGGCAAACCCAGACATGTCCATCGGACTGCCAGACAGAGAACCGTGATTTATCACTCCAGAGAACACGTCTCCGCTTCTCTAGAGTGCAGTGGCGGCGTGCTTTACACCACTGCATCCGACGCTTTGCATTGCACTTGGTGATGTAAGTCTTGGATGGAGCTGCTTGGCCACGGCAACCCATTCCATGAAGCTCTCTACACACTGTTGTTGTGCCAAGCTGAAGACCACGCGAAGTTTGGAGGTCTGTAACTATTGACTCTGCAGACAGTTGGAGACTTCTGCGCACTGTGCGCTTCAGCATGCGCTGACCCGCTCTGTCATTTTACGTGGCCTACCATTTCGTAGCTGAGTTGCTGTTGTTATAATACCACTAACAGGTGACCGTGGAATATTTAGTAGTAAGGAAATTTCAAGGATGGACTTATTGCACAGGTGGCAACCTATCACGGTACCACGCTTTAATTCCCTGAGCTCCTGAGAGCGACCCATTCTTTCACAAATGTTTGTAGAAGCAGTCTGCATGCCTAGGTGCTTGATTTTATACACCTGTGGCCATGGAGGTGATTGGATCACCTGCATCCAATGATTTGGAGGGGTGTCCCAATACATTTTGCAATATCGTGTATGTTAGTGCCAAGTATTCTCATTATTTTTGTTGTAGTACATTATCATTTTGTGTTGTTTCTCTTAGGCTTCAGCAACTGGAGCGCATGGGCTTCCCAACAGGACCTGCAGTTGTTGCATTAGCAGCAACAGGGAAGGTAGAAGGAGCAGTCTCCCTTCTTGTAGAAGGACAGGTTGGTGGAGACATTGCAGTGACCACTGAAAGACAGACGGGTAGTGGACCTCAAAGCCCATCTGACACATGGCAATAAAACCTATGGTACATGAACTCGGTATTTTTGACATGACACATTTTTTTGGTCATGCAAAGACATGCAAAGATGATCACCACAGTAGTCAGAAGAGCTATATAAGAGCTATATAATGATCTTCATGGAATTATAGTCAGCAGTTGCTTTTTGTGTGAAAGACATTCAATACAGGATATTTAAAGGGCATATGAAGGCATTCATTTCTTGCATAGAATCATGGTTACTTTGTTATGTGACTTTTTTTTCTCACTGGAGCTCAATAAAAATGTTTTATTTGTACAAAGTGTTTTTACCCATCATGGATATGAAATAATGATACAGTATGTGTACAAAACAAATAATGAAAAGATGTACCTTCCTATATTATAAACAGTAACAAAACAGTTTGTTAGCCTTTTCTCATGTATTTGGGTAGCATGAATTATAACAACATAGCACCTTGGGTTATCTATACACATAGGCAACATCACATTTAAGGATTTGCATTCATCCCATCATGATCACCTGTAGTAACTATGGTGGCTGCTTCCTAGTATGCATAAAGCAATTACTGCAAAATGCACCAAGGACATCTGAGAGCTCTTTCATGATTTGGAGTACAGTCATGCACAATAAGGGGGCAGTCACCACGGAGAAGAACCATGTGCAGTTCAAAGCATGATCACTGCAGTCTGAAGTAAACTGCATGGCAACACACTGCAATAAGAATGTATACACACCCTAAACTTCTTTGGTGACCAATTTCAGTTCCAGATTTTGGAACCAGAAGTTGGCACAAATGATCCAATCCAGTGGACACTAGATAATGGCTTGCAGTAAATGGGCTCTTCATTTAATGTTTACTATGGCAATGCATTACTTTGATGTTTATACCAGGTAATAATAATGTAGCTGATATAGATTTAAACAATACATAGAAAAGACAATGTTGTTTGGATCTGAACAATAATACAATCTTTCCTCTCTATTTACAACAAAGGCTGTAGTTGCGCCATTGCAGGTTGCAGTCCAGCATTAAATCATCTTCAGTATATGCTGACGCAACACATTTAAAGAATCAAGCCTTCTTTTTGCACAACTGTGCCAGCAACTTGATGCGCTGATGATATGTTGCTGAATTTTCAGACATCATAAATATTATAGGGAAGGTAGTATAGCATACGTGGAAGGTATGAATGAACACCATACTTTCTATACATGTCCTGCTTGAGCACAGAATAACAACCACCTATGTGATTTGTTTAAATGTATTCATGCAGTAAGATCCTAAGGTTCAGGCCTGGGAAGAGCTTTCACGAAGACTGCGTGCAAGAAGCCATAACTCTGTGGGCCTGTCCTTTACTCTTAATAGTATGGTTATAAGGCACAAATAAGATCCATGGTGGGTAGATAAACCTTGTGAGGATAACAGTGGCAGCATAAGAATAAGCATCAAAAGCTGTCATCTTCCTCCTCATCATTTTGAGATGGCAAAATTCTGTAAGCTGATGGTCCATTGCGCCGTCCCCGATAAAATCCACTGGTGCTTGTTGGTGATGGTTCTGTTCCAGAGCCTCCGTCTGTCTCTATATTGAAAGAATGCACAAGCAGAAATAAACAAAGGTGTTCAACAATAAAGGCTAGGTATACGACATCAAAATCTTCCTTCTCTTTACATGATTTTCTTATACTACACTTTTTCCCTTTGCATGTTTACTGTTAAAGAAGAATTCCAGGAGATTTTTTAATATTAACCCTGGCATTGGGGTTACCCCGGCACTGCAAGGGTTAAATGCTCATTTGTGTCCAGGTGCTAAAATAACAAAGATATAATCACCCGAAGCTCCGAGCCGGCCAGCTGTCACAGCGCTCCCTCCAGCCTGTCTCCCCCTCCCTGCCGCATTGAAATCTTCCTCAGCGTCCTCACGTCTATACACTGTGTATAGAGGTGATGATTTATGGGTCCTTAGACCGCTGCAGAGGAGGGGGAGAGATGTTAGAAGGACCAGTCTAAAAAAAGCTGGCTCGGAACTACGGGTGAATATAACTTTTTTTTAACATAGACACAAACGAGAACTTAAAAGAGAACTATGGGTTAAGTGTTTTTTCCCATAGTTTTCTTAAGGGTCATGGAGGACATATACTAGTGTCCTCGCGTGACCCAAAGCTCAGTATATAGCGAGCTATAGCACGCGGTATACTGAAACCGCCGCAGCCGGGACGGATCCCTGCATTACTGTCGAGATGCACCCAGCTGGCGGATTGACAGCTGGCTCTGCCTACCTAGAGGCAGAGCCAGCTGTGCCCGCCCCTCCCCCGCCCATTCCTCCAGTCAGCGCTGGAGGAGCGGGAGGGGGGAAATCCTTGCGGGGAGACGTGGCTGACAGTCACAGCTCTCTGCAGGGAGATGATCGAGAAGTGAGCGAGCGACGGTATGTGTTCGATCACTTCCCGATCTATTGAGCCGACGTGTGACAGTTTAATTGTCAAGCGTTGGCTCGAACTATGAGGATGAGTGATTATCACTCACCTCATAGTTCTCCTTTAACCCTCGCAGTGCTGGGGCAGCCCCACTGCAAGGGTTAATAAAAAAGATTCTTCTTTAATTCTTCATTTTAATTTCCAAAAGCTCCCTTCCCTACAGATTATTTCCACTTTCTTTGTGCCAGTTTCAGCTTCCTTCATACTACAGTGCACATCTAATCCAGCTATGGGCAATGCTACTTAACATGGGACCCTCTGAGAAGTTACATACTACACTTATCCTCTATAAAAGCTTTATTAATATAGTGGCAATTATTTGGGCTCTTTTACAGAAATTCAGCAATAATGTATACAGTAGATGTAAACCACCAAAGTTGGGGTCAGGTACCACTGATGTCAGTGAACTACCAGACAGCATCAGCAGTGACTAGTGAGGCATCGGTGATGAAAATTAATTTAGACAATTCATCACCAGGCTGGCTCTGAAGTCATTTTTCTCTCCACAATTATGGATCAGTGGCTCCAGAACGTGAAAAGGTCAGCCTTAATCTGTTTAGCCCATGTTCATAAACAAATAAGCCAGAAAGGTTGCCATTGAGCGGAAGATAATAAACCCAGGTCGCTAGGTGACCATTGCCTACTTTTAAAAGCCATGTTAGTTCATATACATTGTCAAGTAGCTTTTAAGTAGAGGCAACATAAAACGATGAATATATACCAAATGCCATATATATATTTCTAATTTATGTTTTTTATTTAATTTCATCTTTTTTTTTTTTAACAGACAATTATATACTTTGTCTTTACAGTATCTGCAGCTATTCACTGTGATGTTGAGCAGTATAATGTGACTAAAATCTCTATATAAACTGTTTTCATGAAACATTTAGTATAAAAATCATAAACAACCAAGAGCAAACATGAATACTACCAGCAATAGAAAGTACAACACAAAGGTCCATATTTTATAAGTGGACAAGACAAATAATATAAACGTAGACAAATAATTGAATATTGTTTTAGTAGGAACATGCTAATAAAGATGCTTGGGCAGATTTAGAAATATATAGATTGCAAAAGACAATAAACTACCACTAGAAACAACAACAAAAAACTACAGGAACAGATCACATTTATATAAAATCAAAACAATTTGTATTTTCTTCCAAGCTATTATTAGTGATCTGTCCTTGATTTTCGTCCATTCTCTCTTCCTCCACTTATGAGAGTATTGCCATAAGGGACTTTTTCTTTCCTATTGAAGCTATAGGGTTGTCTGTAAGAGGTTTTAATTCCGCACAGACTGTGAAGTCTTGTGGTTTGCACTTGTCTTTACACAGACCTTGTGCACACTTGCAACACATGCACCACGAATAAACAGGCAGCATGCACACACTTCGTGATCTATTCCATCACATCACAAGGGCTGTAATGTAAGCTACATGGTAACACATGAGCTACTTATAGCTAGCTCAGTTAACTGTTTAAAAAAATTCTGGGTGTATTCCTAAATGCACAGAATATTATTGGATATTGAGTTCTTATGAGTATATTAAGCAGCAGAGATTGTTGATCCAAGGAATATCTTATGGGATCAGGAAGGATTTTTTTCCCCCTGTTGGAGCAAATTGAACCATGCTTTATAGGGGTTTTTTTAATCTTCCCCTGGATCAACAGGGGGTAACTGTGGGCATAGCTTTCTGTTTTAAGTTTGCTTGTTTTTTTTTTTTTTTTCTCCTCTTATCTCTATAGGTTGAACCCGATGGACTTGTGTCTTTTTTCAACCCAACAATGTAACTATATAACAATATTAAAACCACTAGGCAACACTACAACTAGATATTATTACAATATTCCATCCATGACAAACAGGGTTATTCACTAAAGAGCCGAAGGATCCAGCCGTAGCTTCGGCTGATCCTTCGGCTCTGTTCGGCCGCCGGAGCCCTTCGGTTCGGTTGAACCGAAGGGCTACTGTATAGGCTATTCACAATAGCCTGTACAGCAGCCGAGCGGCTCAGCCGAACACAAATGGTTCGGCTTGGCTGAGCCATATTGACAGGCGAAGCGTGGAGAAAGGTCGGCCGAAGCCGACCGATTTCCACGCAACTGACCTGGGGACGCTGATCTGTCATTAAACAATAACAACTGGGCGGAGCTGGCCGTGATGTTACCTCGGTGATAGCGAGCAGAATAGCTGCTACCACTATTCACTTACTGCCGTTCGGCCCCGATGAGAACGGCAGCGAGTGAACTGCCGGAGCTTCCGCTCAGCCGATCCAGATGTTGCCATGTACATCTGCTCCAGCTTTTGTCTGCTCCAGTTTTGATAAATTCCCCTCTATGTATTTTATATAATTTTATGAAACGATTTAGAATAACAGAGCTTCAAAAAAAGGAATGCTATTTTCATAGAACACAAGACACAAGAAGGTTGGGGACTTTTCCTTTCCAGATTTCCTTAATTCTAACTACACAAAAATAAGGAATACTGAAAAAAAATAAAAGAAAAAGCTTTTAACACTTTGCATGATTACTTCTGTGAGCCTCCTGCTCAGAAATTGATTTGGTTTAACAGTCCAAACAAGCTACATTTACAGCCCATGGATAACAAAGGTGGGTAGGGGTGGTTGCAGGCATACTGACAGCAAGGAGCAGTGCATGGCTTTTGTTACCTGGCCACATTATGTACTCAAGCAGAGTGACCCTTTTAACCAGCAGCTCCAGCTGCTCTTGAAGCTGCAGGAAGGAGGCTAAGCTGACCACCTGCCAGACCGAAAACAGCACAATGGAACAATAGAAAGGTGATGGAGATTGGCATATGAGAGTGGCAATAAAGGACAGAATGCTGTAGCAGAGGATAGTAGAAAATACCAAAGAACAGGACAGGCAAGGGAAAAAGTTTGTCAAAGGAAACTTGTAGAACACACACACAAAGAAGGCAGGTGCATTCCCAGAAGGTTATCTTAACATGTTGCAATATGACAAATAGAGATAAAGCAAGATAAAAAAAAATATATATATATAATATAATACAGAATGCAACAACACAGGCAGCGTGTCACAGGCCTAACCTGTACATTTCCATTAATTATTAGGAATATTGGGTATTAAAAGAAACTGAACCATGTTATTGCATGATCTGATGTGTATAAACATTCCACAAGAGGGCAGCACAAGGAAAGCATTACATTACTTAGCCCTCAGCACAGGAGGGCATAGGCTCTGTCAATGTCCGAACCGAAGCAGGATACATTTAACAATTTACTGATAGGCAATAAATCATGTCTAATAAAGAGCTTATTTAAATAGTGCCTTAGAAAGCCATCATAGAAAAACACAGTAGCATATAGCTATTGAAAAGGAGGCGCTTCAAAATGCAATATTTGATCAAGGCCTGTGTAAACGCCAATAATTTGTTTTAAAAAATTCCAATTTATTCTGTTGACAACAGTATAGGAAGCCTTTCAGGTTTTACCTTTATTTGTATTGTTTGTATAATGTGTTGTAGTTAAATCTCTTAGAAAATGAATAACACTCCAATATAAATATGTAACAATGCAAGCAATATATTATTGTCAAAGAAGCCTGAAAGCCATAATATGTACCTGCAATTTATTTTTGTGTTAAATGTAAAGGACTACTATATAGTGAAAGCTATTGTAATCTGGTAACTGTATGTGACTGATACCTGTAATCTTATTTCCCTAAAAAAGGGATGTCATTAACTGGTTTGTTAATTTGTTTAAAATGAATCTAAATCTACCCTGTCCACAATGATTTCACAGCATAACGAACAGCATCACCCTGTAGAGCAAAAAGATATCTCACCGCTCCAATTCCTTAGCTGTCATCAGGAGTCCCCAGGTGCTGGTCTAATAGGTGCGTCTCCACCTTTGAATGTAGTAGTATTCGAACAGACTGCACTATCCAGAAAATTCCAATACTTCAGACTATTGAAATTCACAGAAAATCCAGAGTAACAGTGTATCTAACAGCAAATACCAGCACCGCAAACCCCTAACCAGCTACAACCTCTCACATGTTTCACCCGTAGGCTTTTTTATATATTATTCATATAAGCCTACGGGTGAAACATGTGATAGGTTGTAGCTGTTTGGGGGTCGGAAGTATTGGAATTCTATGGATAGTGCAGTTCGTATACTACAACATTATCACCCTGTTACAGGAAGTGGCAAATCAAAGGCTCTACTGGCAGGATCATTCAGTAATAAACTATGTTACAGGGGGACTCAGAAAAACAAAAACTCATTTGAAAATGTTCCACTTTAAGAATATAATGCAAATACATTTTGGAGTTAGTTGTTGGCAACAACTGTAAACCAAAATGATTGTTATATGGGTAATTGTACAATATATCCTGTGTAGGAGAATATGGGGTGCATCTATAAAGAAAATTTGCTGAGCCATTTGTTCTGCGAAACATGTTCATTTATTCTGCACAAATAAGGAGCAAATACAAATGTTATTCATATATTTTGTTTTCAGGCTGAAAGTAATATCAGGAACATATCATATTATGGCCACTATAGGGAGCCGAGGAACATCGGAAGTATTCATTTTCCCAAGCTCAGGTCTAGTGGCCGTAATGTGTTTTTTTTTTCATTCAACCTGACAAGAAAATATACCAATAGCATTTGATTTTGCTCCCACTGGCACATAATGAATATGCAATTTAGCAGAATGAATAGCCCTAGGCGTGTCTCACAAGTTGGTATCAAAAACGTGGCTTATTCATGCCACTCATTGTATAGCTTTTTTTTAATTTATTTATTACTTTTTTCCAGTTATTACAAGTGGCAAGAAGAGGCCAGAAGGGAGGCCTGGCACTGAAGAAAACCTGTTTGGGTTTTTTTTTTCCATAGAATGTGTTATCTTCTGCTTTAACACACCTTCAGGCTTATTCACTAAACGGTGAAGAGTTTGGAGAAGGCAGGAGAAGTGAACAATCTAGGACAACATAACTGAACTGGAAAGTGAGCTGAATTGGAGAATTTTTCCAAATCAGCTATTTTGGCCTAGATTGTTCACTTCTCCTGCCTTCTCCAAACTCTTCACCCTTCTGTGAATAACTGTGTTAGTGTCTGGTAGATTAAAACACTGAAAATTACTGTAGAACTAGCCTGTGACAGTGACAAAATGTAAGAATTACTAAGAACTAAATGTGAATGCTTGCAATTTGAAAATCCACTGTCTATGATGGTTACCATGTTTATGGCACTGAGTAACAGCAATGCTCAATGCACTCTGTGTTAGCCTGCGTGAATATGCTTTTGACACATAAATCTACTACAATGAGCAGTACTGAGACCAAGTGACCATTTGCAGTGCACTCAATAAATGCTGACCAATGTGCTGCAGTATTGTCGTATATGAGGTTTGCATATATTGTCTTATATGAGGGTGACTCAGCTCCTCCTTATTGGCTCACAGGCACAGTCGAGAATGCAAGGTCATGCATGGCAGCATGCCAAAGGTAACAAGTGGCTTAGAATGGCACAAACTATATACAATCTGGGACATTTTCATTGAGTTAATATGCACAATCCAGGTCAAGGCCCACTTTGCTCATCTCTACTTAGTATTCCATCTATGCTCAGGAGAAGCTGCATCCTGACAGAAAGGCTTGAATACAACAACCTAATTCAGTTTCTGGATCTTAGTGAGCTCCTGTGTGACGAGAGGATTTTGCATGGAAAGTAATTAGGCGTTTTGTTATTCTGGACTGAAAACACTCATCTTTTTAGATGGCATGCTTGGATACAGTAAAAAGTGGTAAGAAATTGAAGGGCACCTCAAGACCAATAGAATAAGTAAGTGATGTGCTCCTTAGTTGGGTAATCACTATGGTGTTTTTAGGAAGCCTAATAAAGCCACCTTTGTCTGAGCTTGACTGGCAATTGTGACCTTGGTCTGAAGCCCTGCACTGTCTTACAGTGCTTGTGCCTCAAATAAATTTATTAATAGAACATACAAGTTTGGTTTGACACATACTGTAGATGTGGACTAATATGCTTTATGCCCCGGGGCTGCTTACTCCCGATTCAGCCCTGATGTTTCCTCTTAAAGTATACCTCTCTTAGGGAAAAAATGATTAAGGCAATGGATTCATAGTAGGCAACAGATTTTTTTAATACAATAATTCTTCTGTGAGTTACACCTATGACATTCAAATTACCTTGACTGTCTGTATGAATGGAGACTGTAAACACTATTTGAAGCCTTTATTCCTAAATACACTGTTACTGTTTTTTTATTTTTCTGTGCTTATGTGCAGACCAAACAATTGTCCAGTTTTCCATAGCCCACAAGGTGGCAAACCTATGTCTGTATCACAAGAGTTGCTGCCAATTACAAATGCTTTTTCAGGTAAAACAGTTCCATGTATGCATTTCAACCACGTATTTAGCTGTTTGCCTGAAGTTCCCTTAGTATACTTTGTGTAGGTATACTTTGAAGGGAACTTATATAAGGTTATTCACAAAAGGGTGAAGAGTTTGGAGAAGGCAGGAGAAGTGAACAATCTAGGACAATATAGCTGATTTGGAAACATTCTTCAATTCCGCTCACTTTCCAGTTCAGTTATGTTGTCCTAGATTGTTCACTTCTCCTGTCTTCTCCAAACCCTGCACCCTTCTGTGAATAACCTTGAAGGTGTGTTAAAGCAAAAGATAACACATTCTATGAAAAAACAAACAAAACAGCTTTTCTTTTGTGCCAGGCCTCTCTTCTGGCCTCTTCTTGTGACTTGTAATAAGTGGAAAAAAGTAATAAATAAAAAAAAAAACAACAACTATACAATGAGTGGAACGAATAAGCCACATTTTTGATACCAGCTTGTGAGATAAGCCTAGTAGCTCCCACTGCAAGCCCAGGAGCTTTTTGTGGCTGGCTCAAACACAAAGGGGTCTATTTATAAACTATCCGCAGGGCCCTTTGCGCCAATGAATATCTGTGAACGTTCGATCTGTGCAGTTATATGTCAAAACAAAGTTCTTTGGTTGTTTCTTCACAAAGCAAAGTATCTTTTTTTTTTTTTTTTTATGTAATACCGCATTATGGCACCCAGCAGTGGTTTCAGGGCTTTTGGATGTCTACACAAAGGAGGATTTTATGGGTAAAAAAAAATGTATAACATACATTTAATGCACATATTATCTTATGCAAAGATTGTTGTTGAATGAATGGCCTGGCATATATACAGTAGAACGTGTATTTCCTTGAAGCTACATGATTTGCCTTAATATTTACAATCGTATTATATTTGGGTACATTCATTCAACATTTACAGATTGAAAACACATTATATGTACCAGAAAGGCCCCGCTGTCTACATGTATCCTGATAATCACAATGCTCCTGGTATCTTTTCCCAAATCATTGTTTCCCCTCAGCCTTAAACTTTATCTATATTCCCCTCCATGCAATCCCCTTCACATTCTCATTTCCTTCCTAGTCTTTAGATACTCACCGTGAATTCCAATCATTGTCTCCAATATTAAAACTCTCTCTGCTAAAATCTTCAGAGCTTCTCTGATTTGCAGCATTCTCTCCCCCTGTGCAGGCAAGAGACAGACACAGCTGTGAGGGATTAACCCCCTCCCACCCACATTTAGCCCTTTATGGGTTAATACATTTGGCAGGTTCAAATACAGTTTTGACAAACAAAGAGTTAAACAGGGCAGGAGTAAGTGACTCATGCAGGATCTTTAAAAGTCTGAAAAAGAAAAGAGTGCTTAGAATTA